TTGTAAAAAGTTGGCAGGTTGCCACCAACCACCCAGAACTGATGGAAACACTACGGGTTCAGTGTGAGCAACATGGCGCCTTGTGGAGTCAGGATTCTATTCCATGGCTGTTGCCAAACTAAACACATCTTGCAGGCTTTCAAGGTGACTGTGAGGTCCGACAGGAGAATTTGACCTTGCTTGTTTGCATGCTTGTCGCAACTTGACAGACAGGCAAGAATCCCTGCAGCTGACCCTGCCTTGGCCCCTTATTTATCCAAGCGGGGGTGTGAATAATAGCAGACCTGCAGTACACATGGCAGCTAGCTCAAGGCGCAGCATGTGACAGTGCTTGGCTTGCTTGTAATTGTCTAAGTAAGGAGCCTTTGGCTGCGCGATGCCAAGCAGCCGATCAGCCGATTGCACCCTTTAAACTTTGTGTGTCAACAATACACTACTCTGTAGACAACTCGGTGTGCATGACGCAAGTTTGTTGACCAATGTGCCCAGGCATTTGGAGACATGACTTGATTTGCGATTTGCCTGAAGTCGTGGAAACTCGATTTGATCCCCCTGTGATGAACGATCAAAAGCCTACGGAATGGGAGCTGTCGCTCCAGCAACTCTGCAGATTGATCTCCAAGGATGACACGTGTCAAGGCAGTCCTTGCCTATGCATCCGACTGGATGAGTGACACAGTCTGAGGAGATGTGATGCATGGAGGCGCGGCTGTCGTCTAAGGGGGACGTTGCTTTCATATGTGTATACATGTTTCTCAGCAGCCGTTTGCATGTTGCAGTACGCACGCTGGCCGTGGCTCTAGATGCACAAATGACAGTTTTCAGCATGTGTGAACTGCTCTGCGCTAGCATGCAAAGAGGTATGCAAAGGGGTCACTTGTAAGTTCTGCTTGCTTCAAAATGCTGTCCTGTGTGTGTGTGTCAGTTAGCAGGAACGAAGAAGCTTCAAGATTGTTGTTGCAATGCATGAGAGGCCGAAAGAGCGGCTCACGACTCAATTGACGCTGGCTCAAGGCTAGTGCGCTTGCAAAAGAAAAGGCGCCGACTCTGCTGTTTCACATGGTAGCGGGGCCCTGGCAATAGACAGGGCTTCTGAAGACAAGTCATGGCTGACCAGACCACTTGGTCACCGTTCAGAAGACGGTTTGGCGCGAGTGCAGCAAACTTGTGGCCAGGACCTCAGGGAGGTGACCGTGACGGTGCTGACGCAACTGATCCTGGAGCCCAAGGCGGAAACAGTTCAGCCCAGCTGCTGGTGAAGAGAGCCATCCGGGGATGGCAGGGATGAGCGTACCAGGATGGAAGATCTGTTGCGAGTCTTGGCTTTGCAGAGCCAACAGGTGAACACCATGATGCAGGCTGTCACAAGCTTGATGGTAAACGTAGCGCAAGGGACGCAGCCAAAGACCGGCCAAGCGCCGCCCCCGCCTGCAAGGACTGGTACTGTACCAGGTCACCCTGCCGGGGCAACCTATGGAGATGAAATGGATACCACCGATGCCCCTACCTGCAGTGTCCCAATAGAGGGATCGAGGCTCTGAAGTGCTGGGCTTCATGGTCTATGCGGAGAACTTGATCGCATGGCTGGCGCTGATCCCTAGCAGCTATCCAGGCGAACTGCGTGAAGCCAGGAACTTCGGCAGTGTGTTGGAAGACACGCGCTTCAGCAGTGAGAGACTTTACCACTTGTTGGCCCAGGCCTTCAGTGGTGTGGCCAAAGTAGAGCTTTTCATCCGCCAGGTTGGGTTAAATGCCACGGTCCATGGGACCATGGACGGGCTACGAGCTGTGGAGGCGACTATGTGGAGAGTTCAGTGTTCGGAACCGCGCGGAAGCCATGACAGGAGCTCCTGCAGCTGAAGGTTCCTGTTGTTGGAGGTGACTTGCAGAATGCGTGCCGCCAGATTGAAGTGGAAATCGATCGCTACCACAGAATGTTGTCCACTTCCCAGATGGCTGCAGGCCTCCGAGGCCTAGAGCTGACTGAGATCAGTACATCTTGTACCTGAGCAGCATGCCCCGGAATGTGTCAGAGTATCTCCAGTTGCATTGCGATGAGACTTTGCTTGGGATCCAAAGAGGGGTCATGCATTACAACCAGAAGATGCGAACCGGCTGGATTCTGGAAAAGGCTACGGGCCGAAGCCCGCTGACGGCAAGAAGTGCTACAACCGCGGGCAGCAAGGGGCACTTTGCGCGAGACTGTCCTGCGCCAAGGCGGCCGCGGGCCAAAGACGGAAAGAAGGGCGATGCTCCAGGAGCAAGTTCACCTGACGGAAAGGGTGGCAAGTATGGCAGCCGGGCGAGCAGCCCAGGAGGCACGTCAAGGCGTGACAAGGGCTTTGAGAGAGGTCGGCCCACAGACCGCCCAAAAGGAAAAGGTGAAGGGAAAGCCACGAAGGGTGGAAAGTGATGGCTTCGCGAAATGGATGACGACCACTTACTACGGCCACACAGAGGATGGCGAAGAGATCATTCCTAATGGGATGAGGCCGATGAGTCCACGCAAGAGCTGATGGCTTCATCTGGTCATGTTCGGGACGAAGAACTCCTGAGCGCAAGCCATGTGAACCGGCTAGAAAGGGGGTATGAGGATCTGAAACCGGATCGTGAGTGGTTGGTAGATTCGGGCGCCACATGCCACATCTTAGCTAAAAGACACAGGTCAGCATACGAAGTGGTTCATGTTCACAAGGGGCTCTCAACAGAGCTTCGAGCCGCGAATGGTGAGCTGATTCGCACACATGGCGTCGTTGATCTCAGAGTGCATTTATCCGGTCGTGCTTTCGTCTTGACTCGTTGCTTCATCGCGGACATTGAGTTTCACGTGCTGTCCCCGTTCGTGATTGCCACACATGGTTGGAAGTGCGTGCTTGTCATTGAAGGGTCGAGGCTTGAGAAAGGCAAGCATGTTGTGCCACTGTGGCTCAATGATCGTGCGTGGATTTGCGCAAGCGTCCGGCCCAAGGAAGAGCCGCTCAGGAAGCCCCTCGTCTAGGAGAGGAGGCCGAGCCAGGTCTGAGGGCGCGTTGGACATGGAAGTGGACCAGTTGTCAGAGAAGCGTGTGAAAGGTAAGGTGGCTGGGTCAAGAGTTGGCTTGCTTGAGGTGTCGGTGTGGCAGCCTCTTAAAGAGGCCCCTGCGTGTCGTGAGGACACGGTGAAGCCTATCCTAAGGAGGGCATTTGCGACTGAGGAACATGTGCTGGCAGTCACCGAAGAGTGCCCAGCTACCCAGGTAGCTTGTGCTTTTTGTGTCGAGCTCTGCGGAGCGCGTGCTGGAAGGTGGAAGATCCCCCGGATGAGACGGAAGACCAGTCAAAACTCCTATGCGCACTGGAGGCAGAAGTAGGGGAAGACGAGGGAGATCCGTCTGAGGGATACCCGCTTCCTGGCTTGGAAGAAGGGATGCAAGACTTTGGGCGCGTTGCTGGAGATTGCGCTGAAGGAGAAGTTGATCTTGAGCTTGCCAGGGATGCGTTGAACAATCACTTGGCACAGAGACATTTTCCTTTATCCCATCTGTCGGTCCTGCATGAGAGCCCGTGGCCGCATTCCGGCGCGGCGACTGAGACAGGGGTTATATGAAGTGGCCAGTGATTTCGCGTACCTTGAAAGAACGCGATTCTTGGTGCTGCTTGTGTTGTCAACATCCATGTTGGCAAGTTTTGAGTGAGGACATGGGTGGGAATGTGGCTGAGCTGAACCAAGCTTTCAAGGATGTGGGCTTGATGAAGTCGTGGAAACTCGATTTGATCCCCCTGTGATGAACGATCAAAAGCCTACGGAATGGGAGCTGTCGCTCCAGCAACTCTGCAGATTGATCTCCAAGGATGACACGTGTCAAGGCAGTCCTTGCCTATGCTTCCGACTGGATGAGTGACACAGTCTGAGGAGATGTGATGCATGGATGCGCGGCTGTCGTCTAAGGGGGACGTTGCTTTCATATGTGTATACATGTTTCTCAGCAGCCGTTTGCATGTTGCAGTACGCACGCTGGCCGTGGCTCTAAATGCACAAATGACAGTTTTCAGCATGTGTGAACTGCTCTGCGCTAGCATGCAAAGAGGTATGCAAAGGGGTCACTTGTAAGTTTCTGCTTGCTTCAAAATGCTGTCCTGTGTGTGTGTGTGTCAGTTAGCAGGAACGAAGGGGGGTAGAGGAGGATGTTCAGGGGGACCCAGGGACCTGGGAAAATCGCAAACGCCAGCTTTCTGGCAGCCCCATCAACTTTATCATGAGGACACGGGTCAAATAAGGACACACCGTGCCCGAGCGCCCAGCGCACACAGTGCCCGCTGCTGGATTGGAACCATCACGTAATGCATTCCCTAACTGCACACACGCCTGCCCCCAAGTGCGAATGCCCATGCTGCACTAGTCACCCGCAGACACGCCACACCTTTTGACTGCGCCAAAGGGCAATTCAACCAGTCACTGGAAAGGCATCCTGCGACCAGATCAAAGCCCCACCCAACTTGAGTACATTGTCGCTCAGGTACCCAGAGTCACAAAGCGACCACCAGCCAGACACACTCGCGGCCAGATCCTTATGTTAGTTCGATCTCTCCAATGTCCAAATAATGTGAAGCGTAACGACAAGCCTGGTAAAGGAATGTTACTGCAAACTGCTTGCTGATACAAGCATGCTGCACAGTGAGCAAAACACATGAGAAAACACCTTGTTCTATCCAATATGTGATACGAAACTGCTGGTATCAAATGCCCGCCATCAGCCGTTCGCTGCATGCACCCCTCAGCAGCTTCGACCAGCGTCTGGCCACCCCCAAACTGGCTTTTAGCTGGATCGGTGGCTCAGGTGTCTGATTCGGGGTCGTCTTTGTTCAGGCCTCCTAAAAGTACTGGACAGCTACGGTGACGATTACTAAAGAAAGAATGAATGAAAGAATGAAAGAATGAAAGAATGAAAGAATGAAAGAAAAAATGAAAGAAAGGGTTCAACCCCTCAAGTAGCATGAGGGCTACCCAAGCAGTGTCTTGCCTTCAGCTTCGCCAGCACACTGATGAGCGCCATTCTCGGCACCAGGCCGTCCATGTCGGTGTCAATGAAGTTGAACACGCGACGCAACCTGAAGCTGAGTCCTCTTCATAACTGCAGATGGGCTTATACAAGGACCATATTTGCATTGATTTTGCAGATGGGTGTTTCCAATAATACGGCAGCCCCAAAACAGCATCAGTTTCATGTTGGCCCCCTTTAAGGACTGTTCAAAACGGGTCCCCAATTGATCCATCCCGGCGCGCGTAGGAAAGAGACCTCCAATAGTGCTCCCATAGCACATGGATCGCGTCGTCCCATTGGTCTGAATGACCTGAATCCCACGAGCTGGTCTCGGGCCAAGTATATACATCTGAAGTGAGAGCCCCCACACTTCATTCTGGTCGAATTGGTCTCGAACTTCGTAAAAATCCGAAACCAAAGGCCTGAGGAACTGGTACAAACATCATACAAAGATTAAAGATTCGAAACACCCTATATAAACCTCGTACCATCCTCATTTGCTTCCGTAACCAAAAAAAGCCAACACCGGTCGAAGCGAGTGGCTTCTTGTCCAGCACGCGGTTGGTGTCGTTCACCTTCACGCGCTTGGCACCTGGGAGCGATCGAGCCGTCGGGAAATCAGGGGATCGGCTCCGTCAGTGTGTTTGGGATACGCTTGATATCGAACAGGCAAATGAGCTGCTGCCAACTCCAAACCAGAAACAAGAAAGAACTGCAAAAAATGGCAACAAATGAAAGCCCACCATTTTCCGGTGGCTGGATGCTGAGCGCCCGCGCATACTTTCCCCAACCTGGGCACGCATGATCTCCAGGCATGGTTGTCGAGATGGGTTAAGGGGACTTGTCGCGCACTCTGGCCTGTGCACGTTGAAGGCATCATGTTGCGTTGTGCTGCTTTGGCTTTCGCTTGCGTGTCTCTGTGTGTGTGTGTGACCCAGTCAAATGCTCGGCCGTAATCAAGGAACTTCCCACAATGGCAACAAAGATCGAAGTGCTTGACAAGCACACCCACATGATTGGGAAACGACGCCAATGTGAAGGGTTGCATCATTCAAGCCCTCGTCTGCAATCGGGCATGTCTTTTTTGACAGTACTCCTTTGTTTGTGGTTTTACAAGGAAGTGAAATGTAAAAACCACCCATTTTGGGGGGTCCCTAAAAAGGGACATATCCATAGGCCGCCGGCATATCAGCTTATAGGCTTACAAGCCTCGCATTCTTACACTCCACACTTTCGAGCAAAGCTAGCCAGTACAGCGCAAAGTTTCCCTTGCGAGCGTTCACGAAGGAGAAAAAGGCAACTGCCGGCATTTGTGGTACGTATGCTGGGGGCCACCATTGGAGTCATGATGAGAGTCCGCATTGGTGGCGTCCGTGCAATCTTCGTAAGGGATCAATGACGTCCCACCACCGACGAGCTAGCAACCAGCAGCAGCCATGGAGATCTGCGGCCGAGGGGCCGTGGCATGAGGGCCGCAACCCGCACGATGCGGGTGAGGCGATTCAGACGGGTGGCCTGGCGACGGGCACTCCGGAGACTCCAGTTGCATCTTTCTTTGTTCTAACCTCGGAAGCTGACCAAGAAGAGATTGACAGAATGCGCAAACTAATGAAGCAGGCTCCCACTGTGAAACAGTGTTCATCTCCTCTGGCCCTCTGGCCCCTTAGTGGGAATAGTAAGCTCCCGGGCAACAAAGCTAACTTAGTATCCTGACTTGCGTTTGGCTGAGCCTGCTACAGTAGGTCATTGCCTTGAATAGATGTGTGAGAACCACTGTGATCATCCGAACAACGTTGCCAATGTTGTGTAAAATGGAATCTTGCACAAATAGATCTCTATTTCCAATGAAGCAGGACATACCTCTCTGGTGCGCTGTGTGTGCTTATGACCCCAAAGCTGCCTGTGTGCGGGGGACTCATCGAGCAAATACACCTTTGGATGTTTGCTTCACCTCTTGATGGAGGGACGACCAGCTGCAGGACAACAGAACCGTTGCTTGCAAACAGATTTCTTTGCTGTGCCAAAGCCGTCAACACCCCATGTTGTTCCCTCGCCATTGGTACCAGAAAATTGCAATTCTTTGCATCCAAAAATATGTTCAGAGGTCGGTCCACTGTTTCAGGCATGAGAAATCAAGATTGTATATTCGCCTCCCTAGTCTGAGGCTCGTCAATGCTTCATCAAATTGAGTTGCATCTTGCTGAGTTGACTCAGCGACAAGCAACACTGCTTAGCCTTTCAAATGAAAACAAGCCATGCATGCAGCGCGCAAGGGGTATGTGCTCTGCCCGTAGCAACGGAGTAAATAACTGAGCAAGGTGCCCTCGATTTTCAGCAGGCAAACACACCATCCTACACTGGCAGTCACGGCCACTCTCCTGAGCATGAGTCATGTTACACATCCCGTGCGAGCCACGGACATACTGCAAAGAAACAGGCCATTGGGTTGCACCTGTACTGCCTGCAGGCCTCTGAGACACATGGCTCCCGCCACTTTTCCGCCTTGCTGTCTTTGTTTTCAGCCCTAGAAGGGCCCGCCAGCATCCCAAGCATAAAGAACTAACTCATTTTTGTTGCTTGGGACCAGCCCCTGCTAAGCTTGATCTTCAGTTTTATTCCGAAAGTAGGGTCACCATCATCCACAGCTTGAGGCTGTGGATCCCAAAACCAACCAACTCTCTGAGTCCTGCATTACATTTCACCCCCTCCAAACAAAACTGACTTCAAACATGCCGGCAAAAAGGCAGCATCTTGGATGTGCATATTAGCATGTAGTACATGTGCGTATGATTTGTTGTGTATATATATATATATATATTATATATATATATTATATATATATATATGTTATGCATATTGGCCCCTGACTCCCGCTGCCTTGGAGGAGCGGGAGGCGATGCGCAGCAACCGCGCCAGGCGCGAGGAGCGCCCTGCCACGAAGGCCTGCGATGTCGCCGCCGGCATGGGGCGCGCTTGGCGCTCGGTTTGGGGCTAAGGTATGCTGGACATATAGACTTATGTTGAGGTCGTATGGCGGTTGGGGAAGGGGCGGTGATATGGGAGACGTACTTTTTTCAACCACCTTAGGGCGTTGGTTCTTAGGGGGAAGGTTTACAAGATAGGCTCTGAGTGTCCCAAAGTAACGTTAAGTAGACCACCAGCACAAGTTTGGAGCAAAAGTCGGAAGGCCCAAAATGGGGCTGATGTTCCCACAATAGACAAACCAACGGTTTGCCCACGGGCGCAAGGCAGCCACGAGCCGGAAGCGCCGATTCGGGCGATTCGGGCCGCGATTTCGCTTCCGTACCTGGTTGCTCTCGAAGACGGCTTTGAAGAGCCAGGTATCTGGGAGCAACGAGATCAGCGCAATCACGTCCAGCCAGAAGTAGGCACGAAAGATGTACCTAGGGACCCCAGGTTACGGTTTTAGAAACTCCTAAGCGTTGGGTTGGCTTTGGGATTCCTTCCCGGCCAAAAAGGCGGGTCCCGCTTAACGATGGATACCAAAGGCCCATATGTGGGCCCACTTCCTACGATCAAAGCGAGAAAGGTTCCTTTTCATTTAGCGAGGATAGCACATTTTACAAGGCTGTGGAAAGGAGGAAGACGCTGCAAATCTGCTAGTCTTCTGACGACTGAAATTTTGATATGAGATGCAACTGAGAGGTGCGACACTGCTACACCTTGAGCAAAGCCAGTGGATGACTAAGAAGCCGCGACAGCCTGACAAAAGTGCAATATCCTACAAGTGCAGGCCTCTTACATGCAACCTTGTGCAAACAAAACGAAGAAACAAAATAAATGGCTATGAAGCCTGAAGCATGGATTCCACTGCGAAGGCACGCAACCACGAAGGCACGCAACCACTCCAAGTGAACTTGCGGTGCTCTTCACTCCAGACATCAATCGCTTTGTGGGTCCCTTGCTTCCCAGCGCCGCCCTGAGTTGCCTACCGTCCATCACCTGCTCGTCCAAAGTGATGCGGCCGCGCGGCCCATCTTTGCCAAAGCTCTGCACCAGGATCTCAAAGAGGAAGAGGAAGCAGGCCACTGTCATGATCAAACCTGACAATACCGCTTCGATCAGCATGAGCCTCCAAACAACGGCCTCACGAAACACCACCCCACCCGTCACCCAAACAACCCCGACCCCTCCATCGAAGTGGCAGCCATCCCAAGCTGATGGGCCGCCAGCACTAGCAGGAAATGACCAAGGACACTCGGACGGAATTGGGCAAGGTGGAAGCAAGGCAAACCGGTTCTCACACAAGTGTGGAGGACAAAAGTAGTGAGCGCTGATAGCGTGGCTAGCATCTGGGTGTTGGCTTAGACAAAAGAAATCATGCTGCGTCAAACGTCGGATCTCTCCGTTTGCTCAGTAGGCAAGCTCTGTGGAGTCGTCTACTTGTAAACTGGACCGAAAGGGATGTTGTTCCTTGCCGGTGCGAAAAACTTTCAAGGTCGCAAATCATGGACCCTAGGTGGGGGTCCATGAAGAAAGAGTCAGCCTAGGAATAATCATTGACAAACACTCCAAATGCAAACTATTGTAATTGAGAAAGGAGAACAAAGAACACACACGTCAACAAGCTGAAAGTCTCATTTTGCTGCGGCTGCCGTTCTTCTTCTGTGCCAAATACCACTCTTTCTTTGGCTCCGGAAAAGGATTCTCGGGAACTGTAGTAGTAATGATGCTAGTTCACTCACCCGCGCAGCGAAAAGGCTGAGTTCTGCAAAGATGAATGGATTCCTTTCTTTCTCCGTGCTTCCCCCTCAGCTGTTTCTCCAAGGCGCTCAAGGTATACTGCGATTCGACAGTGCCAAAAAGAAGGTCCAGATCCGGAGCGAAGAGCGCGAAGACGGTGAGAATCATAAAGAACCCCACGAAGATTTGGCTATCTGCCTCGGCGACTTGGCGACCCGGCACGGCTTGGACCCTCCGGATCTGGAGAGTCTGGCCCGGATCCATCTGCCGGTGGAATCTGCATGGGCATCACCGTTTAACGGTTTGACAGTTTGCTGGAGATTTGGACCTCTGGCAAGAGTAAGTTCGCTGGCCAATGGACCCCCGCTCTTGGGCTGTAAAATAGTTTTGGCCTACATGCCCTCATCGGAAGCAGCTGATCCCGTTGATGGCGCAAATCTCAATGGCATGGAAGGAACAAATGCATGCACCAGCTTCACCAGTCAAAACCTCCTATGGCACCAGCAAGCCTTGCATCGACTGAACGTTTCTGGGAAGGCCTCCCTCCCAGCTCTTGCCGCCAGGAGTCCAACCGATGGATGCAGTCCTGCACTCACGCAAAAAGGCATGAAAGATGATGCGGCTGAACTGCCAATTCAGGTCACCACACGTGGGAGCACGCATACACTGTTCTTTTCAACCCCGCACCCTTCATGAATCTCGAAAACTGAATACCGATACAACTTGAACAAAACACCCCCAAACAAACATGGAGGCTTCCTCCGAAACAAGAAGTGTCAAGAAAACTAGAAAATAGTGATGAACAACGGCAGACAAGCTCAGAGATGTCAGATGCTCTCACAAATCCAGCCTGAGGGAGGAGGGGGCAAAACGGGCTCCCTTGACTTGGCAATCATAGCTTGGGGACACCCCGATGACTTACAACATCAAGACAGACCTTCTTGATGTTGCTAACAACCTCCTGTCAGTCCCAGTTTGCCACATTAGTGGTTCGAGCTTGTCCTTTGAATGAATAAGTTGCTCAAACAACATAGAAATATAATGTGACCTCCTTCGGACCTTTAACTAACAGCGGACCGGAAAGGGAAACCAAAAGGTTATATATAAGGTTGGTTTTGACTGCGCCGGTGCAAAGGTAGCCGTAAGTCATGACATCAAGCCAAGATCTGATGCCCCAAACCAATCCAACGGCCATAACATCAATAGTCTCCAGCACCATGGGCCAGCACAGGTCTTCCCAAACCAATCGAGTTGACAAAAACGACCCATCCATGCGAAAATGAAGTGTCTACCCTTGGCATTTCAAAGAGAACCCATCGGAGAAACACGGCTCTCACTGAGATTTGGTTGCCAATCCCCAGCTGCGGCCTTCTTCTTCTCATTCAGCTCCAGGTCTGCCGTCGCCGCATTTAGCTTCCTGCGGAAGCAACATCCCCAGTGCAATCGAAACGTGGTGCTACGAACGCAACAATACGAGTAACGCGTGTGTTCAAGGCTCGCTCACGAGGCAACGTGCTCAAGTGCTACCAATACCTTGATTGATTCCAGGGTTTGTTTTCCCGAGTTGCACCCACTGGCAAGTGTCCATTTATCACTTGACCTAGCCAACTGGGTCCAACAAAAGCAACGATACACCCGCCCTTCAGGGGGCCTTCCTTTTGCCACAAGCACTTTTTGCCCTTTGGAACCACGAAAGGTTCGCGTCGTGCGCTTACACCGTCTAGTGGGTACACCCCATTGGTGTGGAAGATATCGGATAGATTTTGATCCAATGGTTGCCGGACGGGATGTGACTTCATTGTGCCCTTTGAAGATGACACAAACTCTTGGTCTCAAGCATGTGAGCAGCATGATTGGAGTGCAGGGGACGTTATCAAAAAGGCACTGTCCATGCTGTGAGGACTGAGGCTGTCACACATCGCTCAGCCTGCGATCCCCAGACCACAGCTTACGCACACATCTGGAAGAGTGCAACACTTTCAATGCCACAAGCTTCTGCTCACATCGTCCCCTTGCAACAGCCCTCCACGGCTCCCGCTCCGCTCGCCGTTGGCCGGCGTGGACGGACACTCTGTGTCATCCTGCCAGGGGCAGCTGGGATACGGAGCTTCGAGGGGTTTTGAAGCAGCAAGGATTTCTCAGCCACTTGACTGAAGTTCTGTAGCTGCCCTGTTTGGCCGATCTCATCTGAACATGGAGTACCTGGACATCGGCACGGGTGGTATCTGTTTGTTGAAGGGCAACCTCATCCCTTCCATCCTGGATTTGCTTTCGATTTCTTCCCACCGCTTCAGATTGAAACCCCCATTTTGATGACAATTCTGCGTACAGCGCCCTCCCCTGCCTTCCACAGCCCCACAGACCCAACGCCCCTTCCATCAGCTTCTGTGCATCTGAGGGTCCCAAATCTGTCCACTCTAGCTGAAGGGACCTGCCCACGGCCAAAACGACCGACGGCGCCTGCACTCGCCCGAACTGGCCCTGCAAAATGCGGCCGAGGTGGTTCAACTCTGTGGCGCTCAGCGGCTGCACTTCGATCTCGGAGCGGCGCGATGTCTCCCAATGACCCAAACAATTGCTTCGGTTTTCCTTGGGGTGTCTCATCAAGCAAACGGTGCCCCTTTACATGCATCGCAACACTCCTTTCAACGGGTGCTCCTGTTAGACCCTTGGTGGTGCACATGCTCTCGATATATGGCCATTAATTCTAGTTAGGGACCTTTTGAGGAGGTTCCCTATTAAACTGCAAGCCCATTATAGAACTGCTCAGAGTCTCGGATGTCATTAACCTCGCAAATAGAAGGCCAAACACTCCGCTGCCCTTCAAAGTCTCCGTCAAGGCACCAGGTCCGCTGTGCTCTTCGTTTCCCGCTTCTGCGGGGCAGAGGTGAAACGCCGGGGATTTTCTGGCCTTGGTTCAAGCGCGAGGATAGGCCTCTGTTCGTTGGCAGGACATTGCCTCAAACACGGGTTCCAGGCTTGATTTATAACTCCAAAGCGTGGCTGGCTTGGTTGCGTGGAGAAGCCTCTATCTGGACATCGTCGAAGATGACATCCGGCAGTCAACGTAAAAGGAAAGGGTGCATCCACCACCATGTTTGGATTGCTTGAGTCGTTGATGTTCAGTCTGAACACGGGACCGATATCCAGTCTTGACAAATCCTGGTGGATCCAACGAGAGGCTATCTATTTGTTTGGCTATCAAATATGACGGGTCGACTTGGTTAGACTTGCCCCAAAACGAGCAGCTGTGATACTGTCCTCTATGCCGACATCTCCGAGCGGAAGGATGCTCTTCAGGGCGGCTATGCTGCTTCCTCTATTGTCAAGAATGAAACTGCTTGAACTCTCAAGGCCAAACCACCTACCGTCGTCAAATGGCCAATAAGGAGTCCTGGGCAGTCTTGCTGTGGACCGACAAATCCAAATCGCACCAGTCGAGATGGATAAGCCGCAATGAATAGTGGGATAAACCCTCTACCAACCATTGCCAACTGGTCCGAAGTCGATTTCGTCCGTCCACTGTATGGTCAACCTCCCTCGCCTCCATCGTTTCTAGCCAAGGTGCTGGGGCTCGTGGACATGCCAAACCATGGAGGGTGCTGACAGGCTCCGCATGGGCTGCACCTCCTCGGCCAGTTTGCGGCTTTGACCTTCTTAAACTCGGGCCTTTGCTTGCAGGGGAAGTCGCCTCTGCAACGCAGGGGCTGTCCCGGGCCACGGCAATCACGGTCAAAGGGTTCAAACATGACCCACAGGGCGAGGGCGTGGCTAATGCAAACACAGGGCTGAGGCATATACAAACCAGGCCACAAGAACATGGGGCCCTTAAACAACAAGTCTGGCCGCCTTTATCATGCCCTCCAGCCCATCAAGCGGCATGTGCCGGGCTGTTCCGCGGCATCTCGCTGACAGGGCTGTGGCCCCGTTCCGTGGGGGATCCTTAGCGCTTCGCGAAAGCACGACGTATCAGAGACAGTGCATGCGAATCAGGAGGTATCCCTGGGTGTGCGTCTTTTGTTGGGGGAACCCCCCCCCCCAAAGAAAATTAAAAATAAAAATAAAAAAATGTGGCTCTCCTGTTGGTGTCCTTTTAAAACCACCAAAGAAGGGGTACCCTCAAAAATGGACACACACCCCTATCTTTCACACTGCTCAGTTCCAGGATGCATGTAAGGTATATATTCAGCAAAACATGCCATGCGGTGACAAGGTCCGCCTATAGCAAGTCCCACTTGCAACACATGCCACCTTATTCACGATTCTTGGTGGAGCCTTCTGCCCACGACAACCTGGAATTGTCTATCCTTCACTGCGTTTAAAGAAGATGAAGGAAGTCCTGCAAATGAAAACATGTGGCTGTATTGTTGTTCTTGGATGTGAGGCCGCTGAGTACACGCAGTACAATACGACAGCAGTTCCAGCGACGTGGCCCGGCAAGAATTGGAGATGCAGAGCTATGCTGGTGACGCGGTTTATGTTGCATTGTGCAAATGTTGGGCATGGGATGTGGTTGCAACACATCATACCCTGAGGACCGCAGCTTGTTGTGAAGAGGAAATGTCCTATATGAAGTTGTAATACTCTGTGTCTGAGCATAACAAACTACAAAGACCTCAATGAACAAGTGTATTTGCGATTTGGCTTCGTGGAATTCTCTTTCTCAGACAATATCAGCGCATGTGCTAGACTTCTCAGGAAACAAACGCCACCAGGGAAGATGTTTCCATCACTTGTTATCACTACGATTTCAGTTTTCAGCGGCGACCTTCACTATCACCTTCACAAGGAAGTAGATACGTGTGCCGAAACGTCCTGTTGAACATGTACACATCCTATGAAGCAATAGTGCGGAATTTTGCTGAGTTGCAAAGTATCAATCAAGTTCAAGTTCGGCTTCGAATCCAGGCCGCTGCCCACACAAAGTTCTGTATGGAAATGATTGTCTTGTTAAGCAAAAGGAAGAGCGTTCAGAACTGCGGGGGTTGAAGTTAGGTGACTCCCAAAATGGTTGGATTCCTTCTGGCCTCAATTTGAAACCGACCAAAAGGCATCCCCACAAACACACACACACCGACGGCTCTTGAAAGGTTGACGTCATTCTGTACAGCGACTCGTTGCGGCCCAGCTGCGCAGCACTGGGAGGAGCTTGCCATCTTCAAAGGCCCTCGTGCGGAAGTCACATGTCTTGAGCGTCTACAAAAAAGCACGCGGAGGTCCCCAGTTTTGCCAGTTGCTCCACGAGAACGGAAAGACATTCCGAAAGTTCAACAATTGAATGTGAACAGCCCATTTGTCTGGTCCTCGGCACAGGATGTGACAGCAGCGTTTCCGCCACCGGAGTCATGGCTGTCTACCGCATGGCGCGTCGAGTTGATCCGGGCGCCAGAGAAAGGTTTGCGCCGCAGCTCCGAGTTCCGGCCTTGGCTAGGAGGCTGGGAGTGGGCTGAGGGTTTGGTCGGGCTACGTCTCGCTTCCGTGACCTCCGAGCCGGGAAATGGTCCAGTGCGCGTCGTGCAAATAGAGAAAACACTCGGGACAGCGACGTTCCAGTATAAATCATAGCCTCAACCCCAACCCCCCCGCACCGCAATGCATACCTTTTGGCCATTCGACTCCCAGTCTTTTGCTGGTAGAGTTTTCTCTTGGTTTCTGGCTGCGCGCGCGCAGTGCCATCAAAGGCACAGAGCTGCTCTGGGCAGCGGTAGCAGTGTTTTATTCTGCGTTCCAATGGGGCATCTGATGAACGAGTGAGTAAGAAGTCGGATTGTTTCGCTTGAGATGTGCCGGCATGTCTGTGTGTGTGTGAGACGTGGCTGTTTGTAACATGACTCCACACTCCATCCTTGTTGCATGTTCGTGTCGGTTCTACATCTATCGAAATCAAGGCTGATCTAAGCGTGGGACTCTCAATGACTGACGTCACACATGAATCAAGTGGATAACAAACTTTTGCCAGTGCGATGTGGCACTCCTTTTTCATCACTCCTTTCATGGGAACCATGAACTCAGTTGGCATTGAGAGCTTGCAGCTTCACATTTTTTCATCGTATAGGTTCTGGCATAAGGGGAACGGTTCCGTTCAAGACGCTTGCCAGTCACGGTGTTGCCTTCATGTTGGCTTGACATGTCTTTCTCAGCCGGTAGATGGATGTGCGCGTTTTTAGAGGCTACATTTTGGGAAGTTGAACCTCTAATTTTGGGGGGATTGCCCTATTCTGACACACGCTCATATTTCATATGGCTTTGTATCAACATGAGCCCCTTCAAATAGTTGGTTTCCTGGTTCTTCTTTCAAAAAAGGGAATTCCCGTAAACAAGTCACACCCAGATCGCTATATAGCTCGTGTCATTCTCACCGCTGACCCAATGCAGCGCGGCGAATTGCAACGCTATCTCAGCGCTTGGGGATCCGCATGGATGCCCCCCATGAAGGTCCGCGCCTGTCGGATGCGGTGCCGTGAATGAGAGATGCAAATGAAAAAATATACAGTGTCTATACTATTGTATACATATATATATATATAATTATATATATATATATGCGTGTGTATATATATATAGACGCGTGTGTGTGTGTGTGTGTTTGGGTGCGTGCGTGCGTGCGTGTGCGTGTGGGTTTGGGTGTGTGTGTGTGTGTGAGTGTGCGCGTGTGTGTGCGTGTGTGTGTGTGTGTGTGTGTGTGTGTGTGTGTGTGTGTGTGTGTGTGTGTGTGTGTGTGTGTGTGTGTGTGTGTGTGTGTGTGTGTGTGTGTGTGTGTGTGTGTGTGTGTGTGTGTGTGTGTGTGTGTGTGTGTGTGTGTGTGTGTGTGTGTGTGTGTGTGTGTGTGTGTGTGTGTGTGTGTGTGTGTGTGTGTGTGTGTGTGTGTGTGTGTGTGTGTGGGTGCGTGCGTGCGTGCGTGCGTGCGTGCGTGCGTGCGTGGGTGGGAATAAAACACAAATAACATGCAGACATTATTCATGAAATACGTGGCTATATCTGTGTGTGTATGTCTTGGTCTGTGTTGTCGTGTGTCAGTGTGTCTGTGTCTGTCTGTGAGAGAGTGTGTGTGTGTGTGTGTTGTGTGTGTGTGTGTGTGTGTGTGTGCGTGTGTGCGGATGCGTGCGCGTGCCTTGCGAGTGCGCGTGCGCGTGTGCGTGTGCGTGTGCGAGTGCGTGCGACGTGTGCGAGTGCGTCTTGCCGTGCCGTTGTGTGTGCGCGTGCGCGTGCGCGTGTGCGTGTGTGCGCGTGCGCGTGTGCGCGTGTGCGTGCGTTTGCGCGTGCGCGTGCGCGTGCGCGTGCGCGTGCTCGTGCGCGTGCGCGTGTGCGTGTGCGTCTCCGTGTGCGTGTGCGTGTGCGTGTGCGTGTGCGTGCGCGTGT